GCAAAATCAGTGACATGTATGTGCGCCCGTGCGCACACACACACACACACACACACACACACACACACACGCCATCGAGTTGATTCCAACTCATAGCAACCTGATAGGGCTATTTGAGCTGCTTCCTAGGGTTTCAGGACATGGAGGTCTTTGTGGGAGCAGACAGCTTCGTTGGCCTCTCATAGAATAGCTGTGCATGTCAACTGTTGACTTTTCTGTTAGCATTCCAATGTTTATCCTACAAGACCCCAGGGTTCCTAACAGGTATGAATATGTATACCCAAACTAAACCCACTGCCATTTACTCATAGTGATCCTATAGGGTTTCCAGACTGTAAATCTTTATGGGAACAGCTAGTGTTATCTTTGTTCTGATGGTGAGTTTGAACCACCAGCCTTGCAATTAGTCTGTTGTTTACCCAGAGTACTAGATATTCATCTCTCTCTTATCTACATTCATGTAGATAGGTATGAATATGAGTAAGGGATCTTCAACAAGTTCATGAATAAATGGATTTTTTCCACAAAATTTTTGAAGTCCTTTTGTGTGTGTGTTTGTGTGTGTGTGTAAGTGTGTAATCGTGTGTAATCCGGGTGGTGTAATGGTTACAAATTCGGCTATAATCTGCATGGTCAGCCATTTGAAACCACCAGCTGCTCTGCGGGAGAAAGATAGGGCTTTCTACTTCCATAAACAGTTACAGTCTTGGAAACCCGCTGGGGCCGTTCTACACTGTCCTATAAAGGTCAGTATGAGTCAGTATTGACTTGATGTCAGTAAGGTTTTGTGTGTGTGTACACCCACACGCGTGCGCAGAGAGAGAGAAGAGAGCGAGCTTGCTCAAGAAAATGATTCATGTGGTTGTGGAAACTAGCAAATCCAAAATCTGCAGGCATCGCACTGTCTGCAGGACATTTCTCCAGACTCACCTGGTTGCAGGGGTTGACCCACAATCAGCAGGTCAGACTACAGGCTGTTAGCCCACCAACCTGCAGAAGTTGTGGACTCAAATATGTGTGTGTATGCATACGTGTGTGAAAGAGAGAGATGCAGGCCATATACCCCAGGGAACTCCCCTTATACCAGAGTAAAGATATAATTTACACCCAACACTAATCTTGCCACATTCACATATAGAGGTTAGAATTTACAAACTGGAGGATGATTACATCATGCTATAAAATGGAGTACGACCACACAATATTGGGATTCATGGCTTAGTGATCTTGGCATATAACATTAACCAATACAATCTCTAAAAGAGCCTCTTCTAGTGTAGGACAGCTCTAATTAAAAATTAACTAAATTGAAATCTATGCCCTATAACTTTGATCTTCCGAGAGTGGTTCTAATTTTATTTTTTTCCAATGTAACATCCCCCAAATAGACTTTCTTAAATCCTCAAATTATCAAATACCACTAAAACATGAAATTTCCTAACCAAAGTAATGTATATCTGCAAAGACCTTTATTGATTTTACAGAGACAGGGCATTTCACTCTTTGATGTACCCAAAACTTTCAATTATGTGGTTTTACCTTAATTTTCTTCATTTCTGTCAGTGGCACTAACAATTTAGTTCTTTTCATGCCACTCTTATAAAGATTCATACATTTTATAATTTTGTGAACACAACTATACATAACTATATGGAGAAAGCAACTGCTGAAACAAGCGGTGGACTTGCCTGCAGTCGCAGTCTTGTGTCTTAGTTCACATTTGCTAGCTCTGGTGAGGCTCTCCATTGCCGTAGTCTCTCGCAGCCTGTAAAGAGCTTCCCGATTGGTCTTCCTGCCACTGGCCTTCTCTTGCCAAATATAACTTCTGTACTTCTGTTAGAATAGTCTGTCTAGAATGTAAATTGGCCCAGGCCACTTCATGCTTCCCTTAGTGGTCCACTGTATGTAATGGATTAACTTTTCTTCTGGCATCTAAAATGGTTGTGTACAGTGTTGGAGGAAATAGTCACTTTTTAATCATTTGTTCTTTGGTTCAGATGAGCAATCGTGTAGCTGGTAGCAACTTCCAACCACCAAATTTCATTGAAGTCTAGGGTTTCATCTTAAAAAAAATATCACTATTCCATTAATAAGTCTGTAGTTAACAATTTCTTAAATATTTATCAGTGATTAAAAGTGATTCTACAGAAAGATTTGCCCAGAGTCTATGGAAGTAAAAATAACTTCCTTTGAAAAATGAATGCCCTGTTGTGAGCATTTTATATAGGTTATATTTTTTAATGTTATATTATGGTTATTATTTAAAGTTAAATTATTTAATGTCTCCAAGAACATCCCCTAGGAATACACAACTAGGTGTGTAAGGTGTTAATGGTCAAGACTCTGACCCAAGTATGTCTCAACTCTTAATACCATGGTGTTTTCTATGACTGGAAGCAGAATTGAGAGTAAGCTTGAAGTCTTTGCCTAGTTCTAAGTTTATCTTCATCTCTCTAACATTTTATTTTTCTTGGTCAAGCAACTTTTATGATTTAGATCATACATTATTCAGACTACTTATGCAAAATACAACCAACCCATGATTATCTTGAAAGGGAAATGAACAGTGATGCAGGTATTTATTTCTCTATAACAGGAAATCTTACCTCTTTCATGGCTTTAAAGCAGGCGTCCTCAAACTACGGCCCACGGGACACATGCGGCCTGCCGTGGACATTTATCCGGCCCGCTGGGTGTTTTTGCCCCATTTGTTTTCTTACTTCAAAATAAGATATGTACAGTGTGCATAGGAATTTGTTCATAGTTCTTTTTTTTTAAACTATAGTCCGGCCCTCCAACGGGTCTTGGGGACAGTGAACTGGCCCTCTGTTTAAAAAGTTTGAGGACCCCTGCTTTAAAACAATTTTTTTTTCATTTTATAGTAGATATGCTTTTGTAATTGTTTTAGAAATTGATAGTGACACACTGTCATTTCATGAGCATTTTCCAGCTGGTAATTCAAACTGGCTTTTTTGGCAAGCTGGAAAACATTTTGCTTGTGAAAACTTGGTTCCAGGTTAATCCCACCCAGATGATAAAGCACTAACTCCATTTGATTTGTTAGAAATTGTCCTCTTCCCCAGATCTGGTATTTACCTAACCATCTTGAATCCAGTTTCCATAAGATATCCAGAGAAAATGTTCAGCATTCTCTGTCAGTGGCTAGGTTCAACCCAGAATTTCATGGTGGCCTGGTTCCTTTAGTTGAGCCTACAGGCAGCCAATACTACTTATTTCTGGTCGGAGCTGAATTTCAAGTTCTTCCAGAAAACCTGGTATTTGGAAATCTAGGGGCATCCAGATTTACGGATGGATGATGTATGACAAAAAGTCTTTGTATCTTCTTTGTCTCTTCTAAAGCTCTCTTTTAACAATTATTACTGAGGATAGCATCTTCGAGCCTGTTAGTATTTACACTAAGTAAAAGAGAAGAGTTAAACTGGAAGGGAAAGCCCAGAATTTGGATTAGAAAGAGATATTGAGTCAAAGGGGAATTTAGCAGAGGAGCAGAATGGAAATTATTTCCTTAGACAGTAGACAAATATTCAGGAAACTCCTCTGCACCCCAAAGATAGGCACAGCTGCCACACAGTGACTATTAAAGGGAGGTTCAAAGTTAGGAGCAAAAACAGCTGATTCTCTTGGTTCTTAGACTGTTGCTCTTGGTGACAGGAAATCTTGTTCCCCAAGTTGCTGGCTTCCTGTTTTATTTTTACCCTTAATGGATCAAAATGTCCATAACAAGGGGCAGTCTGTTCCAGAGGGTTCTACTCCCCGTTTAAGCCTGAAGAATTGGGGTATCTTTTATTTCTTTCCTTTTAGTCAGGTGTTGGTTAGCTTTTAAGACTTGTGATGTTACGTTTGGTTTAAATAGTTTGATTTCACAATCAACTTTTGGTGATGAGCTGGTGTTTTAAGATTTGATGTAAGTAAACCTCTGCTTTGTGTTTTTGAGGAGCTTTCCGTATTCGGGGTTTAGGTATGTTACCTTTATGCGTTACCTTTTCCATGTTGTCCAGCACAAAGAAACGTTTGATCATTGTAGATTTCTTTCACTCCTCAAACCAGAGAAACAGGACCAGTGCACTGTGTTATGTTAATTTTCTTAAGATAAAACCTTTTCTTATTCTTATAAAGCTAGGGATCTGATAACCGATAAGACAATAACTCAGCATGAAGCTGAAGCACTGGGGGATTTCCTAGGGAAGGGGACTCCCTTGGCAGGATAAGAAACAGTAACTGGAAGGATCCGGATCTGTTCCAGACACTTCCTGCTGTCTTAAGAGCCCTTTGGCCCAGGTGTATTGAACCGGATGGGTGGGAGAAACGGAGCTGCTGAGGAGAAGAGAAAGACCAGGGAAGCTTACAGCATAGTTTGCTCAGCATCCTGTTTGACATATTGAACATGTAAAAAAATTTTTTTAATATTCTTTCATTTTGTCAATTTACTGACTAAACTTTAGTAGTGCTAGTAACTCCTGGCAGTCTATATTTAGTTGTGCATTAGCAGTCGTCCATCAAGGGATAGAGGGTATGTCCTGATGCATACCGGCAGAACCACTATTGGCAGCTGGATTTTATTGTGAAGCTTATCAGATGACAGAAGCTTCTTTGTGTTCCTTATAGTTGGTGGCCTAGAATCTGATCTGTGGCACCCTAAGGAGGGGCTCTTTCACCCAGTGCCTGCTGACAGGCTTTTCCCTGACCATGCCTTCTTGCTTCTGGAGGCTCCAGTTGGTTGGAGCACTGGTGATGATTTTAAGATTTTTATGCCATCCATGTACCTCATCCAGCAGTCACCAGCTCTGAATTTCTAAACGTAACCAGCAACGCTTCCTACAGCAAAGCTGTAAGAAAAGGGGCTTAAAAGAAAAGATGGGTCAGGTAGAAAAGAGTTTGTAAAGCTGTTTTAGATCAGAGCAAAACAAAACAAAAAGACACAACCTTAGTGTGCCTGGAATTTGTGGTTGAGTAATACTTTCCTGTTATTTCTTTTTTAGGTTGTTTTTCATCATTCAGAACATCGCCTGAAGCAGGTCCACCATGCCGTTAGTAACGAGGAACATCGAGCCAAGGCACCTGTGCCGTCAGACGTTGCCTAGTGCTAGAAACGAGCTGGAATGCAAGACCAACATCACCCTGGCAAATGTCATCCGACAGCTGGGCAGCCTGAGTGAGTGCCGCAGAGAGCCTGTGCTTTGCCCTCAGGGGTCGTTGGTGCTCTGTATTTAGTTGCCTTCTCCTCCTGTGTGCCTATTTCTCCCCCATCTGCCTTCCCTAGGTAATGCGAAAATTTATCCCACCTCCTTCCCCAAAGGGAGGCTCCTTTTGGGTACAGACTCTCGCCTCAATGCCCTTTCTTCATCTTCCACCACCCTGTAGCTTTCCTCCCCTTCCCCCCCCACCTGCTTCCAAAGCAATCTGTGGGCAGGGTGGCAGGAAGGGCTGCAGCAGAAACTGCAGCGGGAATGACAGAGCAGAATTCTCTGTAAAGTGGGAGGCAGTGTCTTGGGTCGGGGAATGTGCCTCTAATTGCACGAGCTGTTCAATGTGGCCTGACTTTGTTGAAGCCTCAAATGTGCCAATAGTCTTTATCTACCAACCCCCTCCCTGGTTCCCAAAGCGGAGTAAAAGCAAACATGCACTCAGAGATATTCTGGCTAACTTGTCCACCCTGGTACACATTTAATTGTGCTGCAAGCCCCCAGGTCCAAGTTCAGGGTACAAATTACTTCAGTAGTCCCTGGGGTATTGGAAGTTTTGCAAGCTGCATGCACACACAGTGGCACAAATGGTGACTGAAGTCATTCTTATCTAAGAAGAAGGTGGGGGTTGGCCCAGTCTGTTTTAGAGCTGAGGCAAAGCTAGTTCAACTGTAATTCTGGTTTGGTTGTTTTGGGGTTTGTTTTTTTTTAATTGGCAAGAGTGAATGAGACTGCCTTGGGTGGGGTACAGGCATGTGCTTTGGATTTTATTCTGAATCAAGCTGACTTTGTTTGCTTGAAGCCAAGGTATGGGAAGGGCAAATGCTTGGGTAGGCTTTGCATTTGTCTAATGCCACTCCAGGTCCCCAAAGAACCTTCATCAAAATGCCATTTTAGTGATCTTTTTTAGCAAAAGTATCTTGGTGTGAATCATTTCAGGCACTCACCCCTCCTGTCGCCTCATTGCCCTCCGCAAAGGCAGTGAGATATCAAGAATGCTTGTGTTCCCCCAGATAGTAATAGGGCCTGCCTTTAAAACAGGAGCCGGAGGAGACAGACGGAGCTCTGTGACCAGATGATGTATGGGGTCTGAGATTCCTAAGCTTTCACCTAGTGCAGCGGGCAGCTCAGTTGATCCAGGGCTTAGAGAAGCCAGGATGGGGCGTTACAAAGAATTGAAACCCTCCCAGTGCCTGTCTCACACAAAGGAACATTGACAGCAGTGCAGCAGCAGTGCGGCTGACAAGGAAGCACAGGAGGGCTGCAGAGAGCCTCACTGCTGCTGAAAAGCATCATTTCTGCTGCTGTCACCCTGAGAAGGCCAAATGGGTGGAAGTCAATCACACAGTGGTTCCTCCTCCAAAGGACAAAGGACATCTAGCTAATGATGCTTCTTATTCTCACTCAGCAGGAGTTATACTCTCTCTCAGGTGTTTTTCCAGGGTAGTGTTGATGGACGCCAGTCTCCCACTTGTGATCAGACCACTCTTGTCTTAAAGAAGGGGATTTGGGGACCAGAGTTAGTTTGTGCCGAAGGAAGCCAGCTGTCCTCACATTCTGGGACTAACGGACCTTTATTCAGCTATTCAATGTGTATTGAACATATGTTAAGTGCTAAAAGCTAAGGAGATAACAGCAATAATACGAAATGGTCCGTCTTTCAGGCGCTCAGGATCTACCAGGGAATAGAGAAATAATTCCTGAGAGATGAGGTCGGGCTGAGAAGGGAGCTTATATTTGTTGATTGCCTACTTTATACCAAGTGGTGATAGGATCTTGACATCGATTATCTCACTTAATTCACTCAGTACCATATATGTTGATAGGTGATGGTATTCCCATTTTACAGATGAAGAAACGGAGGCTAGTAAACAGCTTAGTTGTTGTTTAAGCCTAGCCTTCCTAAAGGCTGCTCAGTTCTTCCCCTTGTTTTCTGTCTCTGCCAGCGCTCCCTGTCTTAGACAGATATTTGCTGGCTCTCACTACTGCCCTCACCCTGGCTTCCCTTTTTCTTACCCGGCTTTCTTAGACCTAGCCTCTAGCCCTTTGCCAGAGTGACCTGCCTAAAATGTGAATCTCCCATTTTACTTTTACAATTCTAATGTGTTCCACTTTTTAAAAGTCAGGTCTGTTTTAACTTTTATAACGCCCCCAAGTGTGTGTGTTTCTGTGCTCTTAAATATAAGTGCAAATCTGAATCATTTCTCTCCCTGTTCCTCACTATGGAGTACTCTTAACTTCCTTAGCCTGGTAGGTTAAGACTCCCAAGGCCTGCCTTACTTTCTAGTCCCATGTTCTTCAAAGCCCCTCTTCTCTTATTTGGTGTAATATTTTTAAATGAAAACCACTGCCCTCGAGTCAATTCTGACCCGTGCCGATCCTGTAGGACCGAGTGGAGCTGCCCTTTTGGGAGTAGAAAGCCTCCTCTTCCTTGCGTGGAGCAGCTGGTGTTTTTAACTACTGCCCTTTCAGATTGCGGCCCAAGGCGTAACCACTATGCCACCAGAGCTCCTTTTAAGTGAAAAGGGGGGTGGGAAGGATGAATTAGCAGCTGGTAGATCTGAGACAAGCAGTGCTCAGGCTGTTCCCTGCCCAGAGAGCCACATGTAGCTAGTCCTCGAAGGCCCACATGAGGATTGCCTCTTCTGAGCTCCTATACCTACAGCATTATATTAGAAGTGTATATCTCTTAGACAAAATGAAAAGTTCTCTAACTGTAGAAACCATGTGTTGCTTGTCCTTGAACCTCAGCATATGTCTTGTATAAACTGAAATGCACTGCTAGTGAATCAATTTCAACTCAGAGTGACCCTATAGCACAGATAGAACTGTTCTTTTGAGTGTCTGAGACTATACATCATTACAGGAGCAGACAGCCTCGTCTTTCTACCAGAGAGCAGCTGGTAGGTTTAAACTGCTAAACTTGAAATTGGCAGCTGAGTGTTTACCCCACAATGCTACCTAGGCTCCTCTATCTTTGAAAACGAAAAACAAAAAAACCTCATTGTCATTCAGTCAATTCTGACTCTGTAAAAAAGGCTACAACTGCCCCTGTGGGTTCCTGACATTGTAAGCTCTTTTGGAGAGTAGAAAGCCTAATTTCCTCCCAAGGAGCAACTGGTGGTTTTGCACTACTGACCTCTTACTTGGCACCCCAGTGGGTAACCCCTATGCCATCAGGGCCCCTTCCTTGAGAGGACCTTCCTTCGTAAAGCCAGTACGTGTTGAGTTGGTTCAGAATGAGTCATTCTCTGTCTCCTTCCTTGGTTTTGGTGCAGAGAACACAGGGGAAGAAAGAAAACTTCCTGTGGTGAGTTGGAAGTACAGGCGAGGAGCGAGCGGGTGGGGCAAAGAGGCCCCACTGAAGTGGCTGCATTTGAACTAGCCCTTGAAAGATGACTAGGATTTCATGCGGCAGAGGAATACAAGGCAGCTCATGACCTCCTGTGCATTGTTCTTTAACCAGAACTGCTTGGTCTAGTGGTTAGGAAGGTCTGATTATGGAATGGAAAAGCAGAACCCTAACCATTCCACAGCCACGGCTGTCTTTGTGATAGCACATCCAGAATCCTTATTTTCTCTCCGTGGAGTGAGATTGGCATTTCACACATTAAGTCACTGTATTTTAGGAAACGTAAGTACAGCCAGCCAGCATTTTTGATGGGTATCCTGGTCACCTAGGAGAATGGAAGCCCCATGTGGGCCATTAGGAAATCATGCTGTGATGTTGGGTTTTATAACTTGAGTGCAGTAGAGGGGCGAGGCAGGAGGGGTTGGGGGTGAGGGGCTCCACTCAGACTTCAACAAAAACAGCTTCACAGTTTCAAAAACTGAGCTTTACCTACTTGACTTCCACATAAGACTTCATTTGAAGAGTTCTATCGAGGAGGGAAAAAAAGTTTAATTGCTTTTAAAATCTTGCAAAATGTGGTATTTGTTTATGTGTGTTGTTGATAGATAGTGGGTCTGCCTTCGCAATCCTAATGGATGAAATTGAACTCTGTACAAGGACTTTGGTTTTTTCCTATTTAAGTGTCACACTTCCATTTGCAGAGGTTGAAGTAATTTCTAGCACTTGAAGAAATGGAATGACATTTAAAATTCCCTTTAAGCTTAAGCCTTGGGCTATTTAGATAGCTAACCCATACTCCCCTAGGTCATCTGACATGTAGAAGAATTTGCCAATATAATCCTTATGAAAACTTAATGAGACAGGCATGGTATCCCCGTTTTACAGATGAGGAAAACTGAGGCAGAAACATTGTGACTTGCTGATGCATACACAGGTATAAATAGGAAGAGCCAAGACTTAATAAATTCAGGTTTTCTGATTAGAAGTCAACTGCTTCTGAATAGGAGCCTTCCAGGTGTCACAGTGTGGTTCTAAGTGAGTCCGAAATACTATTTACTGCCAATATCCCCATAAAACAGGATTCTCATGGTTGCCAGAGTTCTTGAGGGATTTTATCTTGAAAAGCACTGTGCCACACTAAGTACCACTCCTAAGTATCACTGCCCCTTCTATATAAGTCCTGGTGCTCACTTGGTGACCTAAGAGTAAGATTTGGGATTTTCTTTTCTTCCAGAAGGGCTGGATGGTTAACAGATATTTTTGAGCCTAGTTTATTCCCCACACATAATTTTGCATGTTTGTCTGTTTGAGCATGATAAAGTATAGTTTTTGTTTTTTAAACATTTTATTAGGGGCTCATACAACTCTTATCACAATCCATACACTCATCAATTGTGTAAATCGCATTTGTACTTCATTCTCAAAACATTTTCTCTCCACTTAAACCCCAGCATTAGGTCCTCATTGTTCCCCTCCCTCCCCGCTCCCCCCTCCCTCATGAGCCCTTGATACTTTATAAATTGTTATTTTGTCATATCTTGCCCTGTCCGACGTCTCCCCTCACCCCTTTTCTGTTGTCCGTCCCCCAGGGAGGAGGTCACATATAGTCCCTTGTAATCGGTTCCCTCTTTCCTACCCACTCTCCCTCCACCCTCCCTGTTTCGCCACTCACACCACTGGTCCTGTAGGGCTCATCCACCCTGGATTCCCTGGATTTTCAGTTCCTATCTGTACCAGTATACCTCCTCTGGTCTAGCCAGACTTGCAAGGTCAAATTCGAGTCATGGTAGTGGGAGCGGGGAGGAAACATTTAGGAACTAGAGGAAAGTTGTATTTCTCATCATTGTTACATCGCACCCTGACTGGCTCATCTCCTCCCCGAGACCCCTCTGCAAGGGGATCTCCAGTGGCCTACTAATGGGCTTTGGGTCTCCACTCTGCACTCCCCCCATCATTCACTATGGTAAGGTTTTTTGTTCTGATGATGCCTTATACCTGATCCCTTTGACACCTCGTGGATGCGTAGGCTGGTGTGCTACTTCCATGTGGGCTTTGTTGCTTCTGAGCTTGATGGCCGCTTGATTACCTTCAAGCCTTTAAGACCCCAGACGCTATATTTTTGAAAGCCGGGCACCATCAGCTTTCTTCACCACATTTGCTTATTCACCCGCTTTGTCTTCAGCGGTTGTGTGGGGAAGGTGAGCATCATAGAATGCCAATTTAATAGAAGAAAGTATTCTTGCGTTGAGGGAGTACTTGAGTGGAGGCCCAATGTCCTTCTGCTACCTTAATACTAAACCTATAAATATAGGCTCATAGATCTATTTCCTCATCCTCATATAAATATATTTGCATATGTACATGCCCTTATCTAGACCTCTATAAATGCCCTTTTCCTCCCAGCTCTTTCCTCTATTTCCCTTGATTCTCCTCCTGTCCCACTATCATGCTCAGTCCCCACCAGGATTTCAGCACTTCCTGTTTGTTGCATTCCCCTTGATCATGCCCTACCAGGCCTCCCACACCCACCTCCCCACCAATTTGGATCGCTTGTTGTTCCCTTGTCCCTGGGTTTGTTAACACCTCTTAAATGTAGCAACTTTAAGGACAGGTAGCAGACAGGACTCCTCACCTATAGAGAAGCGGGGCTCAGTCACTGATTTGATCCTTGGAGCCCAGGAGGTTCCCATAGTTTGTTCAGATCATAAAACCATTCTGTATGCATGGACTTGCTAATGCATACACAGGTATAAATGCCTGTTTCCTTGATTAGAAACTCCTTGCTGACTACATTTACCAGCCATTCAGAGTTTACATTTGTTTGTTCTGATCTTTACTCTCCAGGCAATACCATACCAGGAAAGTGGGCCGCAGTTCACCCCCAAAGGGGCAGTTTTAGCCTCTCAGGCCATTTTTTTTTCTTCTTCTCAAATAAGGACTAAACATAATTATAATGTAGAAGCCAAGAAGTAGCTCCTAGTTTAAATCCTTTTCAAAGAAATGATCTCTTGGTTGAGCATGGCCACTTGTGCCTACCTTTACCTTGCGCGTAAGATGCTCAGATGGTATATTTATTCATGTGCACCATTTTTCATTCCTAGTAAGAATGTGCCTGTGGCTTGGAATGACAATATGGAGGTAGCATTAAATTGCTGTTATGTTTCTTTGGCAGCAAAGTCTCATGCATTCCAGGGTTGAAAGTAAGGAACTCTTTCCTTTGAGGGGGGAAAAATGACATTGTAGAAAGAGAGCACCGGCCTGCAGTTTTTCCAGGAGGGCTTGAAGGTTTCTGCCTTTCATTTGTTCCCTGAGATCCTGACCTAGAGCAAAGACATTGGAAGTAGTTGGTTATAAAGCATAAAATCACCTTTTCACTCCTTAGAAGAAGGTATAAGTCTCTGCTGTAGGCAGTTGATAAGTTCAAGGCCTCTCAAAGATACCACAACTCATCATTGTTCAATGTACTTTTGAGTCTCCATTAAGGAAATCATGCTAATTGTAGATGCCTCAAAGGTTTTATTAATGTCCAATCTGTTTTCTAGAAGCATCTTACAAGGCGCTTTTATAGAGCAGCAAAGGGGGAGGCAAGCATGTCAACCCACTGTCCACTCTTCCAGGATTCATTGTTTGTATTAACACCTTTAGACATATGTAGCCAGCTTTGAGTTTCATGACTGTTTAGTGTTTGCAAACAAGGCTCTGTTAGTTATAGAAAGGTGTAAATTGACCACGCTCTGTAAGATAGGTATGTACCTGTATACAACCCATACTGTCTTGGAGGGTGTGTGAGGTTGGGGCTTGAGGAGTACAATCCTTAGTAGCCAGTGTTTTGACCATATATGCACTAGTGACTTGGTTTCTGTACTCTTTCCAGGTAAATATGCAGAGGACATTTTTGGAGAGCTCTTTATTCAGGCAAATACCTTTGCCTCTCGGGTAAGCTCCCTTGCTGAGCGGGTCGACCGCCTACAAGTTAAAGTCACTCAGCTGGATCCTAAGGAAGAAGAAGGTAAGGAAGCTGAGCTCAGCATTTGCAGGCTCTGCTGAGCAGACTCTTGAAATTTTTTTCTCCTAATTTATAAAAAGTAAGAGGAGAAATCACAGAGACCTGTGGCGTTCTGCTTTGAAGCGACATATGCCTGGCTGGTGTGAAAAAAGTTTTGTGTTGTTTTTAGCTCTGCCCCACCCCAGACGCTCCTTTTCTCCCGTTCCCCCAATTCCCTCTTCCTCTGATTTTCCCTCCCCAAATCATATTTTGCTACCATAAAAGTGCTTGGAGGACTCTTTCCTCCTCAGGAGAGGCCTGCTAGATCTGGCCACATAGTACACCTTTGTGTTGCTTCATTTTGTTCCGTATTGAAATGGCTGGGCTGCTGACAGCGTTGGGCTTCCCCAGAGGGGGCGGGGAACCTGGCTGCAGCCAAGAAATGCAGCAGCCGAGGCCTCTCGGACTGGTGTGACTCAGGGTTTGCTCAAATAGCCTGTCGTCCATTTTCTGACGCCTGCCATCTTCTCTTAGTGTCACTGCAAGGAATCAACACCCGCAAGGCCTTCAGAAGCTCGACCGTTCAAGATCAGAAACTTTTTGACAGAAACTCTCTCCCAGTTCCTGTCTTTGAAACATATAACACCTGTGATACTCCTCCACCGCTCAACAACCTTTCCCCTTACAGGTATCAACTGGCTTAGCGACCGCCCCCTGGACCCCCACCCCTCTTATATGTAAAAGTGCTGTATTTCTTTTAAACCTCCAACATGTTTACATCAGAGGATTGTACCAAACTGCTCACTAACTACGCCCAAGTTGTTTGTGGCAGCAGAGGCTGAAGGAAGTACACCGTATAAACAGTTTTCACTGACTTGGTTTCTGAAGTTAATAATGAATATCTCTTGAAAGTTTGCTAAAGCATTGTATGCCACAGAGTTTGTTACAATCCAGGTCCATCTTGGACTCCATCCAAGGAATTTAGTTACTGTAGCACCAAAAGGCCTTTGTTACAAGGCGATCCTATACATGGATCCCAAGAGCAACATTCTAGCAAGGCTCCCATTTGCTTGGAAAACACTAGGTTACCAGATGTTTGAGTGTATTAGTGGGGCCAGCCTTGTGGACTGCCTGCCCTGGGTCCTGCGGGTTCCTTCCAAAGCTTAATTGGCATTTTCCCCAATGAGTACCATCCGCCTTGTTTTGTACACTTTCACCATTCCCTTCTGAAAGGAGCCACGGTGCCGAGGCTGGACTTGGAAGGGAAGGTAGCCTTATAAACACTCTGAAGCCCCTCTAGTCTGGTGACCAAGTTAGTGTTGTCATGCTGCAAAAAGCAAACAAACAAACAAGTCAGTCAAGTCAGCCTGGGTTGGGCTGTTGGGCTGGGGACCTGGAGGAAAGGAGACCAAAAACCTGATAGTGCTGGAAAGAGTCTGGTAAAAGGTTTGTGTGGTAGGGTGATGAGAAAATATATCACTTTCTGTTAAAAGTATTTTCCTATCAAAATTAGTGTCTCCTCTCAGCTATCTGGACTTGGCTTAACAGAAACATACAGTGGTAACTCTAAGAATGGAATGTAAAAGTGTTTGACTTGAAAATTATTTTTGTATGTTGTGATGGGATTGGAGTCCAGGGAATAGAACTAATTGCCTTTCTGAGCCTTTTGTTGTTACGGTCGAGAATATATTCAGCAAAACTTGTACCAATTCAACGGTTGCTACGGGTACAGTGTAGTCACCTTGATGATGTTTAAGTTGTGCAGCCGGTCTCATCCTCCTCTGAGTCAGTCCTCCATTAGCATCAACTTTTTGCTCCCCAAATTTCTAGCTGCTCTTGTCTGAATCTTTCCATTTAGAGTGAGTTGAAACAAATGTCCACTGCTAAGCACACACTTTCTAGAAAGTGAGTGTGGGTTAGCATCCCAAGTGCAGGATTCCAACCTGGATCATTCGAGTCTGGCACAGATAACCCTGATGTTAACACTCAGTATTGTACTGCTGCTGCAGCCACTGGATGTGGTCAAAGCCTGTGGTCTTTAGATAGTTGGCCGTCTGTTCTCACTGGGGCCCCCTTGTGGTTGGGGGGTGGTGACTAGATGCTGACCTAGTCTGGCAAAGAACAAGAAGGTAGAAAGCTTTAGTGAGCTATGTTTGGCAGGAAATAATAGCTGTGCACACATACATGTTCATGTGTACATCTGTGTACTTGTATGCACAACTAGGAACCTGAACACATGTGGACAGGTTTTCGGTGGGTGGAAAGCTATTGCTGCTGCCTAGAGAGTTCCAGGGAATTAGTAGGGGAAAGGGGAATCAGTGCCAGAAACCTCCGATGTCAGGATGTCCTCAGGGAGGTGCTTGTGACCATGCAGATCATTAGAAATAATCAGGATCCCTGCTGCCAAAGCATGATCTTGCCCTGACCATGCAAAGTCCCCATTCCTCTACCAGTAAGGAAAGTAAAAGCCAAGGTTCTTGAAAAGCCAGGTAAGCTAAGGAGTGCTGTGCAGGGCCATTGGAATGCTGCACTGCGAGAGGAAACATGCCATCGATTAGAATGACTTCTTTTTCCTCAGTGTAAAACTGCTTTCTGGTAAGTGTTTGGAATATTGGATTTGATTGGGAGCTCATCTGTCTGCTGACAGCTACTTGTCTTCATTTCTATCCCAGGGATGATGGGAAAGAGGCACTCAAATTCTACACAGATCCTTCGTACTTCTTTGATCTTTGGAGGGAGAAGATGGTGCAGGACACCAAGGATATCATGAAAGAGAAGAGAAAGCACAGGGTGAGGGGAAGGGGCGTCTGTTCTGCACATCAGTAGGCACGATTGTGGAGGGGAATAAAAAGGAAGCCAGTCTCATGTGAAGTAATCCTTCCGAGTGGCTGCTTGCCTGGATACCAGGTGAAACTCTTGAAAAAATCATGTCCACCCCAAGATGAAAGTATAAATCACACAAAAATATGTTTGTTCTCCCCCCCGCCCCTGCCCCACCCCCCTAGCACCATTAACAATTGAGTATATTCAGGCGGAGGTTTAGAAATTGACTTTTCTAGTCACCATGTATTTCTCTTGCAATTTGCACCTGGCTCTGCTGGACACTTGAGCTAGACCGGGTCCTTCCCCACCAGTTCTGCTGCTCATTCTTCAGAGATCGGTGGGAGGCTCGACAATGTTGGGTTGGGAGTGGGCGGCTTACAGTTTTGCTCCTGGGTGGGTGTGGTGGGGGGAGATGCCAAGTTTCTGGAGATGTGCCTCTCCCTTCAGACCTCCAGTGGTGTGTGCATGTATGTGACCTACCAGCACAACCTCGTAAGCCCATTAGCATGGCTGCCGGGAGGCCCAAGAGAGCGCCAGGGGCTAGTGCAGCTGCATATGCTGAAAAATTCATTGTTGTTTTCTTTTTTTTTAAAAATTAACTATTTCCTTATATCAGCCACAGATATCTGTAGCTGTTGTTGCTTCTCATCTTTCTTGACTGAACTTTGTGGCAGAGCAAATAACAGCTCGCTGTTTACTACGTTCCTAAAAATCTGAGCTGCTCAAAATCGTGAATGTGCTACCTAATATGGTAGGACTTCCCTGTAGCTAGCAGTGTCGAGCGTGAGACTCAGCAAATGTTGCTCACAGGCTGGCAGTCAGTGATATCTGCGGTCTCTCTCCATGCCCGGCGGTTGTTGAAATGTGTCGTCTAGGCAAAATCATCTCCTGGGTGTATGTCTGTGAAGATGGGTAGGATTTTCATGAGAAACCTTGGGAAGGGTTTATAAAGGCATTTCTGTACCTTTTCCTTACAGAAAGAGAAGAAAGATAATCCAAATCGAGGGAACGTGAACCCACGTAAAATCAAGACACGTAAAGAAGAGTGGGAGAAGATGAAGATGGGACAAGAATTTGTGGAGTCCAAAGAAAAGCTGGGGCCTGGGTAAGTGATGCTTTTGTACTCTTGCTCCCAGTCCTTAAAGGGGCTGGTGGTGTGGGGGCAGGTCTGACAGCCTGTCATGAAGACTTTCACACCCCCTCCAGTGTGACTGTGGCTTAAATCAATACTACTATTAATCAGCTACTTTTAAAGTACATCCGTCTGGTGATTAAAAACTGCTAAATAAATCAAGATACTCAGCAGTTTAAATGAGGTGACTGAAATGGTCTTGAAAAGACAGTCCATGGCTTCTCGTGCCCATAATTATTCTGCCAGATATCTGCATGTCTGAGGGCCTCAGAGGAAAAACTAGAAGAAAAGTGGTCTGGGTACCCTTTGCCTCGAGAGCATTGATTGAAAGCCATGCTTAAGACCCAGGCTAGTGGGGGGTGGGGGAGTGGAACCTGACAGGGCATGGGTGCACATCACCAAAGCAACTTTTCAGTCAGCCTTTGTCAGTCTCGGCAGAGAGGCTCGCCAAGGGACTGAATGAGGACCTCAGAGAGTGTGGGAAAGGGCTCTCAGCAGTATTGAGGCTATATATCTGTGTGGAGAAAGAGTAGATGTCAGTCTGACCCCATTTCCCAATACCAAATTACACCAACAGTTTAAGGGCGGCACGGTGGGGGTGGGGGTATCTTAAAACTTGGGTTTGATGCTTATCCTGGTGTCCAACCCATGTGACATTCAAAGCCAAGTCACCACAACTGCTTGGCGTGAATGTTGCCCTGGTTTTCCCCTGAAATGCATTGCATCCAGGCTGGCAGAGAACCCTGCCAGTCCATGCTGGGGTCTAGGAATGACAAAAGGACATTTGAGTTGTTCCTGCTTTTAGGGATAGCTCTTCCAAGAAAACCTTGACTGAAAAATCTTGACACGTCTGACACTTGTTCTTCTTGGATTCAGATATTTGTTTTAAAGAGTGAGGAAGGGAAAAACGAGTGATGAAGGTGGTGAGAAGAGAAAAGGAAGCTTTCTCTCCCCAGGAAATCGATCTGCGGGGACAGAGTCCCCTGCCTTCTTCACCTGCCAGGACAAGGGCCGTTTTGTTCCTGGCCCCCGTCATGCTCAGACGGGCATTTGTCATAGGCTCAATTACTTCGTCCAGGGTGCCAACTATTGTGTGTTCATTTTCTAGAGGAGTAGGGTGGGAAAGATGAGGGCGTCATCCCCCGTTCTCCTGTTCAGGAGGCTGGAGGCTTGGGGCTGGTCGCACTCGGACATACTGGTGGTGCACTTTTAGAGAAATGCCCTAAGCTTACAGGGCGTCAAGCGGTGGGGATTTTCCTGCATTGGAGCATCATTTGATTCACTTAGTTTCTTCCAACTCTTCTCCCTGGAGCCTCTTTTAGACTAGTCCTTCAGAAAGAAGGTTGAGGTGAAGCAGAGTGGGCCAAACTTTGCTAGCTGACGCTTTGTGTATTTGTGCTTGTTTGGAAGTTAGCTGTTCACCCAGTGCAAATTCACCCAAGGCCCAGTGCTCGGAGGGAGAGGTTTCCAGGAGACAGGCCCAAGCACTCTGCTTTAATCAGCAGCTCATTGTGACGTGAGGCCTGGCAGAGTACCCAGGTCTAACTACCACCCGGCAGCCTGCATTTATTTGCTCTCCTCATGGTTTTGTAATCAAATGCCTCCTTGGCCTTTGAGCGCTCCAATGGCTTGCCGACCTCTAAACCTGGCTGAGCACCAGTCACATGTTTGCCGCTCACTAGCCTGTGCGGCTTGGCTTTGCTCTTTGCCACAAGACAGACTCTGAGATTTAGGTGTAGGCTGCACAGAACATTCTGTAGAGAGAATTTTAAAGAACTTCTGTGTTTAAAAGAACCAGCCTTGAGAAAGAAACAGCCTGGTGTTGATCATCTGGATTGAATCCCATCACTATAACAATCCAGCCGAAACAGCTGTCGAACCGTAGACCATTTAAAACAAATACCGTTCAGGATAGCAGAAAATGTATACATTGAGTGTTTTGTTTTGTTTTCCTGTTTTCTTCCTAGTAGCTTTTGTATCAAAGGCTTTTCTGTGGTATCTTAAAAAGTAAAAAAGTGTACAACGTGGGCTCTTTTCATGCGTCTTCACATTGGATTTCTTGTCAGATACCCCGCCAGCCTGGTGTACCAGAACGGCAGCATTGGCTCTGTTGAAAACGTGGATGCAGGCAGCTACCCACCACCACCACCACAGTCAGACTCCGCTTCTCCCCCGTCTCCCTCCTTCTCTGAGGACAACTTGCCTCCGCCACCAGCAGAGTTCAGGTAAACAGTAGTACCTCCTCTCCCCACTCTAGGTGGCTTAAACATTCTCAAGAACAAAATAAGAATTTGAAATCTAGGCTAGGACTGACAAAATAAATTAAGGCAAGTTTGTTTAAAAAATAGAAATCATTTATATCAGCCTTACTCTGTAAGCCTTATGTAAGCTTTACTCTGATCCTGATGCCACATTCTTTTCATATATCCCGCTTCTCACATTTTTTTGCTCAGCATACATATTAAATATGTTGAGAGAATACAACCCTGACACACACTTTTCTTGATTTTAAACCCTACGTATCTCCTTGTCTATTCACACAACCGCTTCTTAATCCATGTACAGGTTTCACATGAGCACAATGTAATGTTCTGGGAATCCTGCTCATCTCAAGACCATCCTTAGTTTGTTAAGGTCCACACAACTGAATGCTTTTTTTTTTTAACTGAATGCTTTTGCAGAGTTAATAAAATAATACAAGTAAACATCTTTCTGGTATCATCCACTTTGAGCCAAGATCCACCTGACATCAGCGATGATAGCCATTGCTCCACTTCCATTTTAGAATCAGGCTTGACTTGCTGGCAGCTCCTTGTCAAGGTACTGCTGCAACTGTTGTTGAATGATCTTCAGCAAAATTTTAGTTGCATGTGATAGCAATAGTATTGTACTATAATTTGACATTCTGTTGGGCCACCTTTCTTTGGATTGGGTACAAATATGGATCTCTTCTTGTCAATTGGGTAATTATCTGTCTTCCAAATTTCCTGGTATAGATGAGTAAGTGCTTCCATAGATTTGTTTGAAACACATCAGTGAGTATTTTATCAATTCCTGGAGCCTTGTTAATACCTTCAGTGCAGCTTGAACTTCTTCCTTCAGTACCATTGGGTCTTTTTCATATCCTACCTCTTGAAATGGTTGAATGTCGACTGATTCGTTTTGGTTCAGGGACTCTATTCTTTCCATCTTCTTTTGATGCTTTCTGCATCATTCAATATTTTGCCCATAGAATCATTCAGTATCAAAACTCAAGGCTTCAATTTTTCTTGCGTTCTTTAGTGTAAGATATGCTGAACATGTTTTTTTTAATTTTCTAACTCCACATCTTATCGACTAGCTAACTATCAAACGTAACTAACTTTGTCTTCTCGAACTGTCCTTTGAAATTATCTGCTCAGCTCATTCATTTCATCATTTCTTACATTTGCCTTAAGAGTCAAGTTCCAGAGTTTTTTGACATCCATTTTGATCTTTTCTTTTCCTTTAAAAAAAAAATCATTTTATTGGGGCTCCTACAACTCTTATCACAATCCATACATAAATCAATTTTGTAGAGAACACTTATACATTTGTTGCCCTTGTCATTCTCAAAATTCGCTTTCTGCTTGGGTACCTGGAATTAGCTCCACATTTTCCTTTTTCCCTTCTCCTCCCTCCCTCATGAACCCTTAATAATTTATAAATTATTATTTTATCTTATCTTACACTGCCCGGCATTGTCTCCCTTCACCCACCCTTCTGTTGCCCATCCCCCAGAGAGGAGGTTATATGTAGATCCTTGTGATTGATTCCCCCTTTCTACCCCCCTTCCCTCCCGGTATCGCCACTCTTTGTTTTCCTTTTTTTAAAAATCATT